AAAGGTTTGATCCGGATCAAAACCAAGATTGGATTACATGATCTAATCCGATTATGTAATCCGTTTTTTTTTTGAAAAACCCATTTTCAAGATTTGATCCAATCCCTTATCCAAAATCCTAGTGGATTACTTTTGAAAAACCGGGCCCAGGGCTTAATTTGTGCCGGAACACTCCAAATCCGGCACCGGCACCTCTGAAATCTGATCCAGCACCTCATTTTACCAATCCCTCTCCTCCACCGCCCTCCTTCCCCATCTGCTGTTTACTTTCTTTTGGACTCCCAAACCCTTCTCACTTTCTTTCGCGACACCCAGCCCCTCTTACTTTTGTCCGTGACACCCCTCCACCGCACCAACCCCAATGTGTTCCGGGACCATGCAATTCACAAATTAAGCACTGCTGAGAAGTATAGATTCCCCTTCACTATACTGGGGTGTTAGGACCCACAGACCGCAGATTAAGCCCCTTACTAACACCACTTCCAGCAGCAACCTGGCTTTCCCATGTGCTCTCCCATCCAGGTACTGACCGGGCTCTGCAGAGATCAGTGCATGAGAGTTCATGCAATGTAACCCATCATTGTGCTGCCTGTTGGGTTATTATTAACCCAGCTGTTTTTTGAGGGCAGTAACAGACCCCTAAAAACTAATTTCTTTTGTCTTTACCATCAACAATATACTAATTTACAAGATACTAGTTTTCAGCATAAAGACTTAACTATTTAAAGACCTAATTAATTTAATTAGGCAAGTCATTCGATAATAATAGTTTGCTCTATTGAAAAAAATATATATTTCTTAAGAGGGGCTAATAATATTGACCTTAAAAATTCATTCATTCATTCATTCACCTTCGGCTTATTCCCTTTATTCATCAGGGGTCGCCACAGCAGAATGAACCACTAACTTATCCAGCTGCAACCCATCACTGGGAAACACTCATGCACACACACTCATACTGTACATAAAGAGCAAGATAAATGGTGCTGTAGATGTAATTATGGTATTTTTGCTGTAATTGATGTACAGTAAGTTACTGTAGATTCTACCTGAAATTGTAAATAAAAAAAGAAAAGAGATTTTTCTCCATTATTGAAAGGCTTCTGTCTGCTTCCTGGGAATCTGTGCAGGAGTAAACACCTTAAAAGTACCTGCAGGAAATGATTTATTGTTGATTAGGCGTGCAGACACAGAGTTATTAAGAAGAGATTGGGGAAGTAAAATAAAGCAACATCAGTGATTATGACACAGAGGGTTTGCCCACAAATAGCAGCAGATGCACGGCAAAAAATGCCTTTGATACTTGGAGTTTTTGCAAACATTAAATGCCAGTAATATTTGCCAGATTTACTGGCTTAATCTTGTTCATTTTAAATAAATCTGCCATTGACCTTGTTAAAGTTAACTGCATGTTTTCTTTTTTGTTTTAAAACCAATGCAAATATGCAAAATGTTAAAATTTTTTTAAATTCTCATTTTTTTAATATTATTATTATTGGCAATATGCATTAATTTTATAAAGCATGTCATGTGTGTGTGTGTGTAAATGTTAGCACAATAGCTTTAAAACACAGCCCCTCCCCTGCCATCCAAAGCCACGCCTCCTGAAATTACAAACGAGCTCCATGAAGATGACAGAGACCCACTAGATCATGTCATTCACCTGTTAGAAAACTTTACAGTACTTTATAATACTGTATATAATATAATAAACTGTATTATATCTACCACATTATCAGATGTGTAGCAAGCAGAACTTGTCATAATGTGCAAAATTTCAGGATCGCCGCTCTTACTCTCTCAATGCACTTTGTTGTAAAGCGACTACTGTATGCTTACTGTTTGGCTGGCGGCATGCAGGAATTACACTTATCACTAAGCCATACTTACATGCTATTTCAGAGCGGGTATTTAGAGTAGCGGTAAACAATTCAAAATGAACCAATGTGAATATGAAAGCATCTTCAGATCAGTAAAGCAGGCTAGGTGGAATAGCGCTGTTTACCAGAGATGTATAGCTACGAAGTAGAACTACTTCACTACTGTACTTAAGTACTTGTAACGAGATGGAGAATCACAAAACACAAAAGTCCATGTGCAGCAATTTAGTTTGACGAAAACAGAGTTTGCTAATCTTGCACAGGAACTTCAAGCAGGATACAATAATCTAGAAATGAGTCCAGACAAAAGAACTGACAAAAAAAAAAAAAAAGCAAATACAAAAACAGAGCAGGAATGCAAACAAAAACAATCAAAAATCCAAAAATCTGCAAATACTAAACTGGGTATAAGTGCTAACAAAAACAAACAAGATTTCAAGAATAAGCAAATACAAAACTAGATCACCAAACAAACATACCAGACATGAGGGACAAACAAAATCCTAAGGCAACTAAAACACAAGACAAAAGGGTTCATAAAGACTTAACAAACAAATTAACAAGCAAGAAACAGCTGTAACAGAATACAACCAGAAGTGCAAAGGATTATAGGAAATGAAGTTAAACTACAAAACAAGCTAGTGCCCTCAAGTGTCCAAAAGAGGGCACTGCAACATGTGACAGTACAAAACGGCTGTATGCTGTAGTTTTTTTCTCCTACTTCCACTTTTACTTCAGTGCATATTTTCCATGAGTTTAACACTTTTACTCTGATAGATTTATTATGTGCAACATCGTTACTAGGGGTGTCAAAATTATCGATATCGGTTCAGTAACAGATCATAGCCGGTCATTACGTACTGACGTCATTTATCTCCTATGCGTGATGTCGCAATACTATGGCGAAGGAGGCGAGGGTGAGTAAACAACACTCTTACTACAATGAAGGCAGCACAGCACACAAGCTGCTTTCACTACTACAGAGAAATGCTGTAAAACTCCATCTTTACCCCTCTCTCTCTCTCACTTTGGACATTTGACCCGCTGGCCTGTTTGTAAGGTGAATTTTCTTCTCCTCTTGGCTGTTAAAGCGATACTTGTGGATCCAGACACGAGCGTGCCTGAGGTGTATTATGGATTACCTGTGATAACCACGTATTATGCACATACAGACTGTAACCGCGGCTGTTCTTCCCGTCTTCCCGTTATCGGTAAACAGCGCTTTCATTTCTAAAGCCGATCGTAGCCCTTTCTGTTGAGCAGGTGAAGACAATAACCCAATATAGGGGTGTAAAGGCTGATTTATACTTCTGCGTCAAGCGCAGTGGCCGTCGCTGACATGCACCTTTTAAAAAATGTAACTACATGTTACAACGACACATAGCGCAAGCTCGGTGATTGGTCGGCTTGGTAGCGCTGACGAGTCTGGGCGGGACCGAGAGCCGCGCGAGCCTGATGGAGTGATTGTTTACAAGTGTGGAGTCCCGTGAAGGAGCTCCTGGTGGAAAGTTTTGTTTTGTGTTTGCCTCATAGTTAAAGTTGTTGCACGTCCGCCGGTTCCTGCCTCAAAATGAGCGAGTTTGAGCCACTTGCACATTCAGGAAGTGTTCAGGAAAAGCAAAACAGCAGCGAAGAAACTCGACACAGAGACACATTAACACCTCACTGCCAGCTAGCATTTCGGAAGTGTTAATGCAGACCAACAGAGACAGCGCGCAGAAGTATAAATGCACAGCTACGGGCGTTGCATGCGCCGTGGGTCACGCCGGTCACTTGACGCAGAAGTATAAACCAGGCTTAAGACCTCGCCTGTCAGCGCTCAAAAAGCAAGCGGGATAATATTCAAATGAGTTTATTTGCTATAAATGCTCATACTGTCTTCTGTGCATGTGTTGAAGTTTTGTTTGATATATTCAGAAAGAGTGTTTACTTTAAGCAGGTCAAATTAAAGGTACATTTCATATATCTTACTGCTTGTATTAAAGAACAAATTTGTTTTACAAATAATATTCATTCATTTTCTTGTCGGCTTAGTCCCTTTATTAATCCGGGTCGCCACAGCGGAATGAACCACCAACTTATCCAGCAAGTTTTTACGCAGCGGATGCCCTTCCAGCCGCAACCCATCTCTGGGAAACATCCACACACACATTCACACACACTCATAGACTACGGACAATTTAGCCTACCCAATTCACCTGTACCGCATGTCTTTGGACTGTGGGGGAAACCGGAGCACCCGGAGGAAACCCACGCGAACACAGGGAGAACATGCAAACTCCACACAGAAACACCAACTGAGCCAAGGCTCGAACCAGCGACCCAGCGACCTTCTTGCTGTGAGGCGACAGCACTACCTACTGCGTCACTGCTTCACCCTCAAAATAATATATAAATATAAATAAATTTATAGATTTAAATAAATAATTCTAGTCTTGTGAAGAAAAAATCGAATTATGTATGGAAAGCATCGTCAATGCACCGAGTTATCGAATTGAACCAAATCGATGGCGTGATAATCTTCACCGAACCACACCGTGGTATATAAATACACCTATTATATAAATACATTTAGATCAGGGGTGGCCAACCCTGTCCCTGGAGAGCCACTGTCATGCAGATTTCAATTGCAACCCGTATCAAACACACCTGAACCAATTAATTAGGACTTGAAGACCACGTGATAATTACAGGCAGGTGATCTGATTTAGATCATTTACTTTAATCATTACTGTTGAAATGTAGAGACTTCCAACCAGTACAACAAAACATGTTTCTGCAGAAGACAAGTCACTTACTGCACTTTTAAATATGCATTATTGCTCTAAATAACCTGTATGATCGTTACAGTGATGCATGAAAAAAGAAAGACTTGTTATAAGGAAAAAAGAACCGCTACAATGATTTCCATCAAGGGTTGCATGCTTAATATGCTGTTATAGCCAGGAAAGCAACTGTAGTCAGGCCTTCGGGAAAGTCGCTTTGTTACTTTTGTCCATGCTCTCCCTTATTGAAATGCTTCTGTCTGCTTCCTCACAATCTGGACAAGAGCAAACACCTTATAAAGCCCCTGCAGGGATCTGTTGGTCCTGTTTAGGCATGCAGAGTTATGTGCAAAATTGAAGAACTTGTGCAACATCGGTGGTAATGAAACAAGCGGTTTGCCCAACAGATGAGATTACAATGTGCAAAATTGGGCAGGACTCACATGGAGACTCGTGCAACTTATTCTGAGACGAAATTTGCCAGATCAAACATCATGTCTTGCAGATCTCCTCTCACTGCTGGTAAGAGTGTGAAGAACAGGGCGCTGATCGTCTCTGTGGAAAACTTTTATCCTGGGGCCTATTTGTGCAGGAGAATCGGTGTGAAGAGAGACAGTCGAAGGCTTTACAAGATCCTCAGCGAACTGGGCTTTTCTGTGGACATCAGACTGGACATCGAGGCGGAGGAGATTTATCAAGCATTTAAAGCTGGTGAGACTTCCAATTTCATATCTGCATCCACAGTTGAAGTCAGAATTATTAGCCCCCCTGATTATTTTTTCTATGTTTAATGCAGAGGATTTTTTCAACATTTCAGCACGTAATAGTTTTAATAACTCATTTCTAATAACTGATTTCTTTTATTTTTGCCATGATGACAGCACACAACATCTGACTAAGATACTAGTATTCAGCTTAAAGTGACATTTAACGGCTTAACAAGGTTAAGGTTAAAGTTAATTAGTCAAGTTTTTGTATAACAGTGGTTTATTCTGGTGACAACCCAAAACAAAATATTGCTTAAGGGGGCTAATAATAAAATGGTTAAAAAAATTAAAACTGCTTTTATTTTAGCAGAAATAAAACAAATGAGACTTTCTCCAGAATAAAAAAATATTATAGGAAATACTGTGAAAAATTCCCTGCTCTGTTAAACATCATTTGGGAAATATTTGAAAAAGAAATTGACGGGAGCGTGAATATTTTTGGCTTCATCTGTATGTCATGCAATAAATAAAATGTAAAAAGTGATTTACTGGCATCAAGTCTGTGTTTATTAGGGAAGGCAAGTTTATTTCTATAGCAAATTTCATACACAGTGGCAATTCAAAGTGCTTACATAAACAGGAATGAAAGAGACAAGTGTAAATAAAATAGAAACAAATAGTATAAAAACAGATGAGAACAGCGTGAATATTGCAAAACACCGGTGTATCGTATTTTCTCACTTTACTCTGGCACTTCCTCATTCTGGTGATCAACCCTCCCCCACCCCTCAACCCCCAAGGACTTTTTCGGTACCTATTAATCTATTGGACATCTCCAACAGATTAGACTTTTCACCTACAATTAAAAGGTTAAGCTTAACAGCTGTAATTACGTGCCCTCCGATTTCAACTTTCTTCTGGACGTAAATCGCACGGCCCCTTACTTTATCCCCTCTTGGGAGTAAATCGCTTTAGCTACCCAAACGTAATAAAAGTTATTGATCTCAGCCAGACGACAGGGACTTTAACCCCCCCCCCCCACAACAGATATCTGTGGCGAGTCATTGTCTCGGATCTCACTTATATTAATGACGCTGCTATCCCACAGAGACAGATCTACCAGTATGGTGATGGCCCAAGTTAAATATTATAACTGCTCAATCAGATACAGTTTTTCTCACTTTATTCTGGGACTTCCCCGTTATGGTGATCACCCCCCCCCCTCCCCTGTGGACTTCCAACAGATTAGATTTTTCACCTGGAATCTAAAAGTTAAGCTTTACAGCTCTAATAACTTGCCCCCCAATTTCAATTTTCTTCTGGAAGTAAATCGCACAGACCCTGATTTTAACCCCTTCCCAGGAGTAAATCGCTTTAGCTAGCCAAACGTAATAAAAAGTATTGATTTCAGCCAGACGACAGGGACTTTAGCCCCCCCCACAACAGACATCTGTGGCGAGTCATCATCTTGGATCTCACTTATATTAATTACGCTGCAATCCCACACACCACACAAACACTAGCACGGAGAGAACATGCAAACTCCACACAGAAATGACAACTGACCCGGGACTCGAACCAGTGACCTTTTTGCTGTGAGGCGACAGTGCTAACCACTGAGCCACAGTGCCAGCCACAGTTTGGACTGCAAACTAATAAGGTTACAAATATAATCCTTCTGATACTAACAAAGCGCATCCTCCATCCTCAGAGAGCGAGCAGACGGTCAAAGAGTGCTTTGTGGGCATCATCTCCAGTCACGGTGAAGAAGGTGTTGTGTTTGGTTGTGATGGACGTGCTGTGAATCTGGCCGAGATCTACAGCTGCTTCAGAAGCCCAATAATGAAGGACAAGAGCAAACTCTTCCTCATCCAGGTATGATCTGTGAAAGTACTCATGGATGTAAATTTCAAAACAAACAAATGACAAAACTGCTAAATTGATTTGTATGTATATTGCAAGTGTTCTGGTAATTTTTAATTTTTGACTTATTCTGTTTAAAAAGTGTATAATTTGGATTTATAAGTTGAATTGAGGATATCATTTAAAAAAATCTTCCATCTTCTGCTGTGCAGGCTTGCAGAGGTGGAGATTTGGATGGAGGTGTGGAGCTGGAGACAGACTCTTCATCCTCAGAGGAACAGGACATCCTGTCTGAGCTTCTTTCCATTCCTATCGACACTGCAGTAACATACGCCACTTCACCAGGTATGAGTTATCGCCTACAAACACTTCAGTTTAGTCTTCATTTGAGAATTTTCAGATTGCATTGCTATTCTCTCCTGAACAAGATTTCGAACTGTAAAGGGCAATAATTTACATTCTAAGATCAGTTATTAACTGCAGATGGTGCAATAGGCTAATTGTTAAAATAGCATTGAGCACCATCTGCTGTTAAATGTTAGTTTAGAGTGCCGTCTGCTGTTAAAAACTAGCCAAAAACGAGCCTTAAAAGCTGTTGTGTATTGAAAAATAACCTAGAATGCCATCTGCTGGTAAAAACTAACCAAAAACTAGCCTAGAGCACTTACTTCTGTTAAATATTAGTTTAGAGCGATGTCTGCTGTTAAAACTAGACAAAAAGTAGCCTAGAGCCTTATCTGTTGTCAAAAACTAGCCAAAAACTAGCCTAGAGTGCAGTCTGCTGTTAAACACTGGCCTAGAGCGCCATCTGCTGTTAAAAACTAGCCAAAAACCAGCCAATGCAGTCTGCCGTTAAAAGCTAGCCTAGTGCGCCATCTGCTGTTAAAAACTAGCCAAAAACTAGCCTAGAACGCCACCTGCTGTTAAAAACTAGCCTTTGTCCAATCTGCTGTTAAGTACTAGCCACAAACTAGCCCAGAACGCCATCTGCTGTTAAAAACATGTCAAAAACTAGCAATGAATGCCATCTGCTGTTAAAAACTAACCAAAAACTAGCCTAGAGCACTATCTGCTGTTAAATATTAATTTAGAGCACCGTCTGCTGTAAAAACTAGCCAAAAAGTAGCCGAGAGCCTCATCTGTTGTTAAACGCTAAACAAAAATTAGCCTAGAACGACATCTGCTGTTAAACACTAGTCAAAAACTACCCTACAGCACCACCTGCTGTTAAATGTTTGTTAAGATAGCCATCTACCGTTAAAAACTAGCCAAAAACTACCCCAGAGTGCAGTCTGCTGTTAAACACTAGCCAAAAACTTGCCTAGAACGCCATCTGCTGCTAAAAACTAGCCAAAGACTAGCCTAGAACGCCACCTGCTGTTATAGATTAGTTTAGCGCGCCATCTGCTTTTAAAAACTAGCCTGTGCAATCTGCTGTTAAGCACTAGCCACAAACTAGCCCAGAACGCCATCTGCTGTTAAAAACTTGTCAAAAAACTAGCATTGAATGCCATCTACTGTTAAAAACTATCCAAAAACTAGCCTAGAGCACTATCTGCTGTTAAATATTAATTTAAAGCACCGTCTGCTGTAAAAACTAGCCAAAAAGTAGCCGAGAGCCTCATTTGTTGTTAAACACTAGCCAAAAACTAGCCTAGAACAGCATCTGCTTTTAAACACTAGTCAAAAACTACCCTACAGCACCACCTGCTGTTAAATATTAGTTAAGAGTGCCATCTACCATTGAAAAATAGCTAAAAACTACCCCAGAGTGCAGTCTGCTGTTAAACATTAGCCAAAAACTAGCCTAGAACGCCATCTGCTGTTAAAAACTAGCCAAAAACTAGCCTAGAGCGCCATCTGGTGTTAAACATTAGTTTAGAGTGCCATCTGCTGTTAAAAACTAGCCAAAAACTAGCCTAGAGCGCCACCTGGTGTTAAATATTAGTTTAGAGCAGTGTTTCTCAACTGGTGGGTCGCTACCCAAAAGTGGGTCGCAGAGTGTGTAGTAAAAACAACAAAAGTTAAATTTTTTGCTTATTTTGCTTATATCAAACTTTTATTTTGAAATTCCTGCGCCACAACCCTACCGTTTGACATGTGAAATTTCATTTAATCATAGCAACAAATATGTCGAAGCGCATGTACGACCCCAAATATGTGAAGTATGTATTTACATATATTGACAACAAAAAGGCTTAAAGCCTCAGTGTCATATGTAGTGAGGTGCTCTCATAAGAGAGCATGAAACCTTCTGAATTAAAACGAAATTTAGAAACCAGACATGTTTTATTAACAGTTCAGTTTAGTTCATGGTAACTAAACCTTTCCTTACCCTAACCACTGTTTACAGTATCTGTCGTTTTTACTTTGTAATATTTCTATAATTTGATCTATTTTGTTAAATGACAGCAATAAATACTGTTTATTTGTAAGTCTTGGTGAATGTCTTCTGATTTATCTGTCACTACTTGTGTGTGTTAACAAATAAATACAAATTAAGTATAATTCCTAAAATTGTATTATAGTTCAAAAAAATTTGGGTCGCGGCTTGATGACCGTGTAAAAATGTGGGTCCCATGGCCAAACCAGTTGAAAACCCCTGGTTTGGAGTGCCATCTGCCTTTAAAAACTAGCCAAAAACTAGCCTAGAGCGCCACCTGGTGTTAAATATTAGTTTAGAGCGATGTCTGTTGTTAAAAACTAGTCAAAAACTAGCCTAGAGTGCTACCTGGTGTTAAAAACTAGTCAAAAACTAGCCTAGAGTGCTACCTGGTGTTAAAAACTAGCCAAAAACTAGCCTAGAGCGCCGCCTGCTTTTAAAAACTAAACTCAGACTCGATTCAAGTGAGAATATTGATGCATTTATAAAATCTCAGAGTTGTTTTCTTCTTCAGCTCAGCGTCTGCGGTTGTGTTGTTTTCAGGCTACGCTGCATTCATGCATCCTCTGGGCTCGGTGCTGATTCAGACTCTCTGTGATCTGCTGGAAAGCGATGGAGGTCCAGATCTGGAGATCACCAAACTCCTGACTCGACTGAACCACCAGGTGGCCTACAACTTCCAGGCCAGAGGGAAAATACTGGGCGGGAAAAAGCAGATGCCGTGCTTTGTGACGCGCTTCACTAGAGAGGTTTTCCCATTCAGGAAACCCATCGATGAACCCAGGAGATCACGGAAAAGCTCCATCAGCTGAAGATCACAGAACAAAGACGGACTGGAGATAATACATGTCATGAATGTACTTTTTCATGTGCAATCTTCTTTCATGAACATAACATCGCAGTTGCATCAGCAGCAGGAAGTCAACTGTTGGGACAAGCTATGAACCTGAAATCACACTGTTATGATGGACACACACTGATAATATGAACATAATCCCAATGAAATCCTGATTCGGGAAACACTTGAGTTATGATAATCCTGATTCACATATCGAAACTAAAGTAAAGCCCAGGTTTGTGTGACTCAGATTACGTCACAGTCATACTTTGGCCTTTTACTGCCTTCAAGGTGTGTGAGATGTTTATTTCACATTCTGTACTTTTGCAGGAGCTCATGTGATGTGAAGCGACGTGCAGGATTTCAACACAAGCACTAATGTCAGGGTGCATTTCACCGTCTGTCAGCTCCACTGATGGACATTGCTTGGGCTTTTTGGCTGCTCGGTATGTTAATTGCACGCTTTAAACTAGTGTTGAGTCATTTTCTTGCATTCAGTTGTTGCTTGGTAGACTAACAATACATATAAACGAACATTCAGGCTTTCCTATGATACAAAGAAACAATTCATCATACAGTTGGATTTAAATGATTATAATTTAATAATTATAATTTAATAATTAATTTAATAACCAACAACTTTTATACAGCTTAAAGAAATAGTGTGTCAACTAAAGCTGTCTGGTTCCTCCACTGATGCTCTTCCACCATACTTTTTAAAGCAAGTCTTTGACACAGTGGGTCCCTATATTACAGCTATGGTAAATCACTGTTTTAAAACTGGTAATGTACCTGATATTTTAAAGCATGCCACTGTAAATCCTTTGCTGAAGCAACCAAATTTGGATCCATCTGTTTTAGCCAATTATAAACCCATTTCAAAGTTGTCTTTTAGTACAAAGATTTTAGAAAAAGTAGTTCTGCAGCAACTGCAAAGGTTTTTAGATGATCATAAAATCTTTCAGTCAGGTTTTAAAAAATATCACTCAACTGAGACCGCATGGGTGAAAGTTAAAAAAATCTGGGCGTTATCTTTGATGATGGCTTGAGATTTGATAAGCAGATTAACGCAGTGGTCAAATCCTGCTTTTTTCAGCTTCGACTTTTAAAAACGGTCAAACCTATTGTCACACAATTAGCGATCGCTTCCCAGAGGATCGCTGGTTCTCACACGAACTCTCATGACTACATTTCCGCATTTCCCAGGACTACATTTTCATACATGCACTGCTCCCAAACACGCACGCCTGCTCATTCATCTATCCTGATTGCAATCCCCAGCTGGACCTTGTTCACAGACTGATATCACTCCATTCATAAGCCACTCTCTGACGCTTCCAGTTTGCTGAGTTTTCCCAGTGTGACATTACGAAGCGTTTCTCCCTGTCTTGTTTCTTAGTGGTGGGCAAAGCGAGGCTTCGTGAAACACTGAAACAGTCGAAGCAAATGTGTCGAAGCTTCGAAACGTTTCGAAACCCCACTCTACAGTGACATCTAGTGGTCATTTTTTTATGTATTGCACTGAAACAGCTTCAGCGAAGAATAGTTGAACAAATTGAGGGATTAAAACCAACTTTGTTTGGTGGATCCTTTAGGTAACATAGTATAGTGGTTAAGGTGTTAGATATCCATGCGGGGTTGATTGGTTTCGAATCCAGTCTATGGCAGTTGTTTTGAAATGCTTCAATACCAATTGGTAATGCTTTGCTCTTGTATCGTTTTGTTTCAACATTGTTCTGATATCCGAATGAACAATTTGTGAATAAATTTGTCTTGTTTTTGTCTTAAAACAGGGTTGTTGCTAGATCAAAAACGGTGGCCTGAAGTTATCAAGAATTATTTATATTATTCATTAAATTTCCCATTTATTGTATTTTATTAATGTCTACCTAAACCTAACCATACTGTAAAAATATTTATTATTGTTTTACAGTGTTACAAAAATGATGCTAAATTGATGGCGTAACTGCAGCTGTATCCTATTTAGGCTACACAAAACAGAAACATGATTAAAATACATAAAACCATGAATTCAGAGTATTTGTACAAGTCGGGATTCGAACCCAAAACATCATGCAAAGCATAGAATCACTTAGCAATCACAAAGTCCTCTAAGCCATATGACACACAGATTGATTGATGACCTTGGCAATCAAATGAGGATTCGCCAGGTCTCGAAACGTTTCAAAGCTGATCGATGCTTTGAATCGCTTTAGTCACGTGACTAGGTGTTTCGAAACACTTTAGTCACGTGACTTGGGTGCTTCGGATCATGCTTCGGTGCAGTGTTTCGAAACACTTGCGCTTCGGGATCTCGACACTGTGTCGAAACATCAGTTTCACGTCAGCCATCCCTATTGTTTCTCTGTGTTTAGATCCTAGCCTTGCATTCCTAGTTATCCCGTTTAGCCGCCTGCCTTTCGACCTTTTGCCTGTTTATATCGACTACGATTCTGGACCGTCTATACATATCCGTTTGCACCTGATTTGACCATTGCTTGCCTGATATTGAATAAACCTGCACATTGGATCTTACCTCCTGTTGTGAGTGTCACTCCCCCCAGCCGTGGTAACACCTATTTTATCTAGAAAAAATTTTGAAAAAATAATTCATGCTTTTATTACTTCAAGATTGGACTACTGTAATGCGCTATATTTTGGGATCAGTGAGAAAACTCTATCCCACCTACGGTTAGTTCAAAATGCTGCTGCAAGGCTTTTAACCAGCACCAGAAAATTTGACCACATCACACCAGTGCTGCGCTCTTGCCTGTGCACTATCGTGTCACTTTTAAAAGTCTTTAAGAAATTTTCTTTCTTTTTAAATCTCTAAATGGCCTGGCTCCTTCCTACCTGTCAGACCTGTTGACTGAACATCAGCCTGGTCGGTCTCTTCGGTCATCAAACCAGAGACTTTTATACATTCCAAAGTCGAGGCTGAAATGCAGGGGTGATCGGGCTTTCGCAGTAGCTAGTCCTACTTTGTGGAATGCTCTGCCCCTCTGTATTAGGTCTATATCATCGCTGTCTGTTTTTAAATCTAGGTTGAAAACTTACCTTTTTGATTTGGCATTTTATCAGTGATAATTGTTTGTTTTTAGCTATAATAACTATTAGTGAGATTTGGTTGTTTTTACCTATATTAACTATTTGTGAGAATTGTTTGTTTTAGCTATAATTCTATACTTGTTCTCTGTGATTTATTGTTCAGCACATTGGTCAACCTTTGGTTGTGTTTAATAGTGCTATATAAATAAAATTGACATTGACAATTATTTATTGAATTATTAGTAATTTCTCAAGTGATGTTTAACCCTATAAAGTCGCATATATCCTGTTTGATACACAAGCTTCTAAGACCTATATAAAATCAACCTGATCAATTTTTGGCTCGAAAACCTGTTGTATATGATTTGATAGTTTGTATTCGCCCTCTTGTGGATTTTCATGACAGTCCAGGCAGTGGAAGGTGTGTTTTTTAACCTTTTCAAAATGGCTGCTCTCATTGAATTACTCGCATACTTTTTGGCTGGAAACTATTAGCTAATTTCAAGTTGTTTTAGCAAGAATACAATTTTTATTGTTAACAATTTTAGTAAAAAAAATTTAATAGCCGGCAGCTAGCTCAATTCTCACATGGTCGCCCACTGAAGCTAAGCAGGGCTGCGCCCGGTCAGTACCTGGATGGGAGACCACATGGGAAAGCTAGGTTGCTGCCGGAAGTGGTGTTAATGAGGCCAGCAGGGGGCGCTCAACCTGCGGTATGTGTGGGTCTTAATGCCCCAGTATAGTGACGGGGACTCTTTACTGCTCAGTGAGCGCCGTCTTTTGGATGAGATGTTAAACCGAGGTCCCGACTCTCTGTGGTCATTAAAAATCCCAGGATGTCCTTCGAAAAACAGTAGAGGTTTAACCCTGGCATCTTGGCCAAATCTGCCCACTGGCCTCCGTCCATCATGGCCTCCTAACCATCCCCATATCATAATTGGCTTCATCACTCTGTCTCCTCTCCATCAATCAGCTGGTGTGCGGTCTGGCGCAAAATGGCTGCCGTCAAGTCATCCAGGTGGAAGCTGCACACTGGTGGTGGATGAGGAGATTCCCCCATTGTGTAAAGTGTTTTGAGTGCCCAGAAGATATATAAATGTAAATAATTATTATAATTATTATTATAAATAAAAGGAACAATGTAGAACACTGCTACTCACTGCGCCACCGTGCTGCGCCCACAGACTGTAAAATATTTAATGTAAAAAACAAAACAACAAAGAGAAAAACTGCCTGAAATGTTCTCTGCTATCAAAATGTTAAAGGACTGTCAAATGTTAAATTTTTTTTGTAATTAAAATTAACATTGTAATGAGCAAAAAGTTGCACAAACACCTGATTTATCAAATGTGATACAAAATAAATATCATGAAAAATATTACATGCAAAAAAAAAATAATTTTGCTAGATGGTTTAATAAACATCTCATTTCTAGAAAATTTGAATTTTCTGCCTATTTTTTATATTTCAGGACTTACAGGGTTAACTGAGCAAAGAAATTTTAACAGTAATTCTTACAATATTTTTTTTTCTTCTGGTGAAAGTCTTATTTCTTTTAGCTTGGCTGAAATAAAAGCAGATTTTAATTGTTTTCAAGCTTTTTTTAGGACAATATTATTGTCTACTGAACAACTTGACTAAATTGCACATAATTTAGTCATAATTGCACATCATTTTAAGTTAAATTGCACAGAAAACTGAATACTAGTATCTTGTAAAATAAGTAAAATATTATGTAATGCCATCATGGCAAAGATAAAAATAATAATTCATTAAAACTATTGTTTAAAAATGTGTTAAACACTTTACAACATTATAAAGAATAAAAAGTTTATAAATATTATCTTATTACTCAATGTAATTTTCTGATATGTTTTTTGCATGGAAAATGTAAAAAAAAAAAAGATATATTTTGGGGAAAAAATAATAAAAATGTCACTAATAATTTTAACTTAAACTTTATATCACATAATTGAGCTCACAAAAACACAAATGCAACAATTACTCATAAAAAATAAAGAATCATAAGATGAGCATATGCAATATTAATCTCCGAGTAGTATTTCTCTGTGCATCATTTCACAGTACACTAGACAGGAAACAAAATCAGGTACAAAGTGTAATCAAAGCTGAACTAGTTTATCCTGAACATTAATGTAAGGAAGCATCACGCAATCAACACGAAGATAAGCAGACATTAAAAACAAGTTCTACCTGGTCATGAACTTGCTGATAGTTCAGAGAGAGTGCAGAGAAACATAATCAGGTCTATAAATTCATTGATATTATTATTTATACATTTGAATTCATACATTTCATAAATTTTAATTACCTTAATTTAATTCAAGTGTAATAAAAATTATGCATTAAATAAAATAATGCATAAACAAATAAAAATAAGATTATATATGCACTGCATTATTTTTTCTTCTAAATTTTTATCATTATGAGCTAACTTTTTTTTTAAACCTGCCAATGATTTTTAAGCAATTTGTATAACATGCTAATAATCTTTTCACTGTGAGAAGTTTAATTTATTAAATAATTTCGAGAGGAGTACGCGCTCATGATTGACCCAGCTGGCTTATATTAGCTAATCACGATCCTCCAATCAAAGAATCCTAAGTTCCTATATTTATTCTCTTTTTCTCTCTACAACTATCTTCGTCTTGAAGAAACCCCCCTCCTCCCCTTCTTCCACCTTTATCCAGAATAGGTAGCCCAGCGATCAGCAAGAATTCCAATGGCTCTGGCTCCTTGCTGGAACATCTGGCGTTTCTGCTCTGAGCTGGCGCGTTCGTGGCCGGGTTCCCCGGTTACCTCTCGAAGCCTGAATACGCTCTACATCATAGACCATATAAACATAAGTCTCTTTTATTAGATGTCTCGCTTTCAAGAAGTTCACCTAGACCTTAGCTGCGGGGGAGTATTAAGATCATTCTAAGCTCAATCTCTCTCGCCCCGCAAAAGGGGGGTAGCCCTAGACTCGAGGATCCCTTCAGCTCAGGGCTCTTTCCAGGGACAGCATGCCAAACAAGCTTTTGTAAGTCTTGAGTTAAGTGTTGAACTCTTAAAATCTATTTAATGCAAAAACTTTAAAGTTGTAACTTACAAAAATAAATAATGAAAATTATAGATTTTTATAATTAAAACAATCAAATGTTATATTTCAAGCCAAGTATGATACTTATTATTCTAGTTATAATCATAATAATTATTATTTCATTCATTCATTTTCTAGTCGGCTTAGTCCCTTGATTAATCCTGGGTCACCACAGCGGAATGAACCGCCAACTTATCCACCAAGTTTTTTCGCAGTGGATGCCCTTTCAGCCGCAACCCATCTCAGGGAAACCTCTGCACACACATTCATACACTACAGACAATTTAGCTTACCCTAATTCACCTGTACCGCATGTCTTTGGACTGTGGGGGAAACCGGAGCACCCAGAGGAAACCCACGCGAACGCAGGGAGAACATGCAAACTCCACACAGACACGCCAACTGAGCTGAGGCTCGAACCAGCGACTCAGCGACCTTCTTGCTGTGAGGCGACAGCACTACCTACTGCGCCACTGCATCGCCCTTTTATTATTTAATTGCTAAACCTTTTATTGCAAAACATAAAATTGAGCACCGAATCATCCTCTCATCAGTATTTTTTATCTAAAACAATGAATGCAACTTAAAGACTTTATTAAAAAGCATTTCAAGAAACTATTATTATTATTACAAATTTGTGACTATTACAGAAACTGCAAAATAATAAGAGCATCATTTTAAAAATGTCCTTTTTTCATATTTTTCTACTGTCACCTTATGTTGCATCGCATTCTTCCCTACATCCTTTCCAGCAAGGCACTGCTGGTAAACACTCAAACAAATGCAAGCACCTACGCAGACAGTAACTGCTTCTGTTAGCTAAAGGTGAAGCTCTGGGAACTGCCAGACGCATGACACACAGGAAACACCATATATGGCCGGACTCATGCAAATGAGGCTGGACTCACCTTGTTATATGATGTGGAGACGCTGATAATGTTGTCGCTCCTTTACTTTCTCAGTCTGTGTATTCGCCCTCAGTGCTGCTGGAGTTAAAGATGTCTTTCTGTAGATTTCCAGCCTTCACAGCAAACAAGAGAATGAAGAACCGGGCGCTGATTGTGTCAGTGGAGAATTTCTATCCTGACGCACTTCTCAGAAACAGACCCGGAGCCAAGAAAGACACGCAAAGACTTCACAAGATCCTGATGAAACTGGGCTTCTCTGTGGACATCAGAGTGGACATGGAAGCAGGAGAGATTATTGAGGCTTTCAAACAAGGTAAATGTTGAAGAATTCATTCATTCATTTTCTTTTCGGCTTAGTCCCTTTATTAATACGGGGTCGCCACAGCGGAATGAACCGCTAACTTCTCCAGCTTGTTTTTACGCAGGGGATGCCCTTCCAGCCGCAACCAATCTCTGGGAAATAAATTACATTTATAATTACGTCTTCCAAGCTGATTTTATGTTTGTTTTATGTGTTGCAGGGTTGTTATAAACCAAAGCTGGGTCCGATAGGGGCAAAACCAACTATGGGTTATGACAATCCTGCAAAAAACACACACACACACATTCAAACACTGCAGATTCAGATTTAAAAATATGCCATTTCTGATCTGCAATGCTTTGTGGTGTGTGTCTGTGTTTGTGTGTTGCTGTTAAAGTTATTATTATTTTATTAAAACCTAAATTAAGTTTAATCGAAAAAAAAAAATTTAACCCAAAGTTGGTTTTGGCAAACATGGACAAAACCAACTTCAGGGTAATTTCTTTCAACACACGTATATAATTATAATATTTGGCAATATTAAGCAAATTAAATATATGATACAAGTGAAAAAAAGATATCTATATATTTACATTTCCATATATTATGTTCAACTATTAAAGTTACAAATATGTACAATTATGTTCAAATATTGTCTAAAACTGTATTGATCTGGGGCGGCATGGTGGCTAAGTGGGTAGCACAGTCGCCTCAGAGCAAGAGGGTCGCTTGTTCGAGCCTCGGCTGGACAAGTTTGCGTTTCTCTGTGGAGTTTGCATGTTCTATAGGTGAATTGAATAAACTAAATTAGCTGTGATGTGTGAATGTAAGTGTGTATGGGTGTTTCCCAGTATTGGGTTGCAGCTGGAAGGGCATCTGCTGCGTAAAAGATATGCTGGAATAGTTGGTGGTTCATTCTGCTGTGGATAATGCAGGGGCTAAGCCGAATTAAAACAAAAGAATTTATGTGTATATATATATATATATATATATATATATATATATATAGACATACATATAAGATTATATCTAATACTGTATTTAATGTGCATATTTGTAATATATTTATAATATATGCAAGAAATATTTTGAAATATTGGTTGGATATATGACATATATTTGGTCGCACTTTATTTTGATGATCCGTTACATTGCATCTACATGCCAACTAATTCTCATTAGATTATAAGTAGACTGTTAGGATTGGGGTTAGGGTGGGGGTCAGTGTAAGTTGACATGTCCTTGCAAAGTTTCTTACAGTCAGGTAAATGTCTTTTAAATGAGCAGTATCAGCAGATATTAAGCAGACTGTCTACTAATAGTCAAATGAACCATCAAAATAAATTGTTACTCCATATTTTATATATGTAAAAAAAACAGACATGAACTTGTGCAATTTGCATATATTGCCATATGCAAGATTTCTAAATGGGTGAATGAGCACACAGATCCCTCTTGTAAAGTAATATTTGCTATAGGAACTGGAACTAATCTAACAAAATAACATAGAAGTCACCATGCAATGTTTTAAACCCTAATGAATATGTTAGATCCAAATATTAAATAAATCAGTGGTTCTTAAACTGTGGTATGTGTTTCACTAGGTACGCAGGCTTTCTTCTAGTGGTATGTGGATTAATCAAATATGTTATATGTACATGCTACATATATTTAAATAAATTATTAAAATTGATTTATTTATGAATATGATAACATAAAGCCTATATTTATGAGGCCCTGGCAACATTTCCAGGTGCTGATAAGCCAGGAATTTTTTCTTTTTTTTTTTTTTAAGAACAGTAACCTTCCATTTTTAACTTTTAAAAGCACATTTTAATTTAAAAGTTCTCAATAATACCAACTAATATGCCTTGTTTTTGAACTGTACAGAGCTTTAGCTGCTTTACTGGACCTAATACGCTACTGTATTTCAATACTGCTCATTATGGTGGTACCTGCAGAGACAACTTTTTTCTGAGGTGGTACTTGATGAAAAACGTTTGAGAACCACTGAAATAAAACATAAAAATATATAACATTTAGTTTAAATTTTGCATTTTTTTTTGCAACACTTTATTTCAATTTAAATGTCTTTCTGTTCCTGAATATGTTCTGTGACCAAACTCTTATTTTAATGAATAAAAATGTTTAATAAAATCATTATTTAGTTTAAATGCACCAAAATATATTGTCTATATTGAGAAAGGTTTACAAATATTAATTTTCAAAGAAGGTGTACTTATTTATGCTGAGCACTTTATAACTGTTGGGTTTGACCACATTTGACCTATCGCCGAGTTTTAACAATCAATCATTTTCAGAGTTTAAAAAAATATATTACATAATGTCATTTATTGGTGCCAAAGTGCATGTTTGTTAATAATAATGCTGTCCTCAATTATCAGCAAGCCCAGATTAAAATATTTTATGACTGGCACTAGCTGTACCACTTGTTTGAAAAACTATATAAAGAAATGGAGATTTCTGTTCGGGTGGAGCTGGATGACAAATAATTTGGTATTAACATTAATCAAAAATGAATGAATGAGTCATGATGAGCAATAAAACGAGCAGTCAGTGGCTAAAAGTCATGTCTAATGAAATCTGTACAAGCAATATAAACATAACAGACTGTGTCACGGCAAAACAAACAGTAAACTCACAGTTACAGATGATCAGTTTTGTTTGTGCTTTAAAAACGTTCAGTAATTAACAATTTAAGATTTCTTTGGATCTACGTTATAACATACCAGGACTCAACAATAAGGACTGCCCGATGGCCCGGGGCCAGCGTAAAAGACGCTCGGGACAGTAGACAGGATTGTTACTGGCCCCTATCGGCCAGTAATGATGAGCACATTATTTTTTTTTTCGTAAGCTGGTAAAAACCAATACAGCAAAAAGATGGCAACATGGCGGCACCATCAAACTATGAGGCTTAAAGAAAACGTCTGTTTCTAAAGTCTTGGAAGCAGACAATTACATGGGTACAAAATTAAGAAACTAAAAAAAAAAAAAAGAAAAAAAAAGAGTTGTCAGTTTGGCAATCCATTTTTTTAAAATAATTTAGAATTGCAATAAAATACCAGCACATTTTTCATTCTGCTCTTTCGTTTGCATAAAATGTTGAATTTTGCTCATTATACATTTATTAAGAGTTTCAAAATGTTTAAATTCTAGATTCACAGACATTATTTTGCCACATTATTTAAATATGTGGCTGAGAAATAGCTATTCACTTTTTTTTTTTTTTTTGGTGGGGCCAGTGAAAACTGGCAGGGCAAGTAAAAATCTCAACCACTGGCCCAGTAGAAAAAATCCTTAGCGTTGAACCCTGCATACACTGCTTGTTTAAACCAGGGCTTAAAAACAGAAAAAAATGTAATTGATGGTTGCAAGTGCTGAAACACACAACCAGTTTTATATTGTTGTTCCTTTTAAAAGTGTCTTTTATTTTTTAAATCTCTCAAATTAGGCTAACATAATCTCCCTCTGAGATATTAGTTCAATTATGTGCTGTAGGCTATTGACCAACACCCCCTATATACAGTTTACACCAGGGGTGTCAAACGTACGGCCCGCGGCCAGATCAGGCCCGCAAACGAATTTAATGAGGCCCGCGAGATGATTCTGTGAGCTGAAAATTTTCAATAAAATATTCTGCTGTTCCATGTGTGTCCACTGGATGGCAAACTTAATTTTCAAACTTAATTTCATCCCATCCAGAAGCCTGAATCAGCGTCAATTTGACAGCCATCTCAGAGAGAAATACCTTTTTTTGTAACCGTCCAAGAAAATTAAACATTCGTGATCGATTAACCAGTGGGAAATCTTCTCTCGCTCCGCACGTTTCCTAGTGCTGGTTCTGTGTGCGCGCGATCTGTCACTCATACAGAAATTCTCACATGCTCTGCAGACCCACAGACACACCTTTTCCGCCAAAATGCATCCGTCCGGAGCTTCTGAATCTCCTTAAAATATCCAGGATTCAGGTTTTACTTTGGCTTTCTAAAGTTGCCGTTATTTGTATGTGTTTTTTGCATTACCATTTCGCAGCTGACTGTGCGCGCACCGCCGCGAGAGAAACATTAAATGATTAATCATTTAATAAACGACTCAGATAAACTTAATACTCGGAGAGAACAAAATGACATCTATAATGGCTGCACAATATTTGCACACCATAAGAAATGATTAATCAACTAATTTGCCTCATTTAAATAATCTACTCTTTTTATTCTAGTAATTATTATATTTTTTGCAATAATGTCTATTTTTATTCATTTTTTTCTGATATTTATTTCTTATTTACTGCATATTTTATTAATTTAATGATGCTATCATATTACATACTTTATACATATCTAAAATGCATTGACAATAAATGGCAATCCAATTTACTTTAGAGAGAGAAAGAGAGGGAGAGAGAGAGAGAGAGAGCAGAGCACCCTTTACCTGTCAGTGGGTGCACATGTCTCCTAAATAGCTTAAAAGTAAGAGAAATTGTCACACCTGCTGCAGTGCCCTCTTGTGGACTCTGAAGGCACTAGGTCTTGTTTTGGTTGTTTTCATTTCCTGCATGCCTGCTCACATGATCACTCCTTGTTTCCAGCTGTTCCTTGTTGTCTAATTGGTTCTGTCTTTTATAAGCCCTGTCATGTTGTGCTTAGTTTGCCTTTGGATTTTGCTTTGCTCTGTCCCGCTTTGCTCTGTCCCGCTTTGCTCTGTCCCGTTTTGCTCTGTCCCGCTTTGCTCTGTCCCGCTTTGCTCTGTCCCGCTTTGCTCTGTCCCGCTTTGCTCTGTCCCGCTTTGCTCTGTCCCGTTTTGCTCTGTCCCGCTTTGCTCTGTCCCGCTTTGCTCTGTCCCGCTTTTCTCTGTCCCGCTTTGCTCTGTCCCGCTTTGCTCTGTCCCGTTTTGCTCTGTCCCGCTTTGCTCTGTCCCGCTTTGCTCTGTCCCGCTTTGCTCTGTCCCGCTTTGCTCTGTCCCGTTTTGCTCTGTCCCGCTTTGCTCTGTCCCGCTTTGCTCTGTCCCGCTTTGCTCTGTCCCGCTTTGCTCTGTCCCGCTTTGCTCTGTCCCGCTTTGCTCTGTCCCGCTTTGCTCTGTCCCGCTTTGCTCTGTCCCGTTTTGCTCTGTCCCGCTTTGCTCTGTCCCGCTTTGCTCTGTCCTGCTTTGCTCTGTCCTGCTTTGCTCTGTCCTGCTTTGCTCTGTCCTGCTTTGCTCTGTCCTGCTTTGCTCTGTCCTGTTTTGCTCTGTCCTACTTTGCTCTGTCCTGTTTTGCTCTGTCCTGCTTTGCTCTGTCCTGCTTTGCTCTGTCCTGTTTTGCTCTGTCATGCTTTGCTCTGTCCTGCTTTGCTCTGTCCTGCTTTGCTCTGTCCTGTTTTGCTCTGTCCTGCTTTGCTCTGTCATGCTTTGCTCTGTCCTGCTTTGCTCTGTCCTGTTTTGCTCTGTCCCGTTTTGCTCTGTCCTGTTTTGCTCTGTCCTACTTTGCTCTGTCCTGTTTTGCTCTGTCCTGCTTTGCTCTGTCCTGCTTTGCTCTGTCATGCTTTGCTCTGTCCTGCTTTATTTTGTTCTCCAGTTCCTCATGTTAGGTTCGGTTTGATCACTTTTAGTATCGACTCAATGTTTTTGGATCCCCGTTAAGATTTAGTTTGATTCACCTTAGTGCTTTAAGTTTTTGCACTTGCGTTTGTTTTGTCAGTTTTTGTACCTTGCCTGTTATTTGGATCTTCTTTGTTTACTTAATATATTAAACTATATTTTGCTGCATTTGGATCTACTCCTTGTTTTTGTAATACGTCATCGTGACAGAAATAGTGGATTTCTATTATTTCAAAAGCCTTTTTAAAATAACGTTAACCCATTGAAAAGAAAAGGTGTATACCAGTGTCATAATAAATAAAAATCAAGTTAAAAATCACATTATTTTTTGTTTGTTGCATGTAGTTGACCATTTAAGTGCTGTGGGGAAAAAAGGTGTTTTTCAATCAGGCCACCACTGCAAGTGAATTTTAAACCTGTGGGTGAAGTGAAGCCCCTGAGGTGATCTCACGAGGAAATGTAACTATTTTACATTTTGTCAGTTTAGTGGCTGTTTTGGACGAGTTCAGTCGTATGAAAATGTACCATTTGAAAAAGGAGGCGTGGTACCAGAGCTAATTACAGTTTACAGAGCTAATGAGGTGCCAGCCGTGTTGATCATAAGCACGTGGTCCTCGCGAAATTAGTTTATGAATAAACCACACTTAATTTACCCAATTCACCTATAGCGCATGTGTTTGGTCTGTGGGGGGAACCGGAGCACCCGGAGGAAACCCACGCCAACAGGGGGGAACATGCAAACTCCACACAGAAATGCCAACTGACCCAACCGAGGCTCGAACCAGCAACCTTCTTGCTGTGAGGCCACAGTGCTAACCACTGAGCCACCGTGTCACACATAAAATATAATTAAACAAATAAGCTTAAGAAAGTTGACATTCAGAATCTATTTACTTCCACACGACTTGCTTTAACTGATTCTCCGTCCTCAGAGAGCGAGCAGACGGTCAAAGAGTGCTTTGTGGGCATCATCTCCAGTCACGGTGAAGAAGGTGTTGTGTTTGGTTGTGATGGACGTGCTGTGAATCTGGCCGAGATCTACAGCTGCTTCAGAAGCCCAATAATGAAGGACAAGAGCAAACTCTTCCTCATCCAGGTATGATGTGTGTTGCAGGTGAACTCCTGTGACCTTTAGGTGTTCTTGAATGAGAGCCTGTGATTATCAGTGGTGCTGCATTCCGTCTTAGAGTTCCTTTAATTGATTACATCAGAGGGAAGGGGAACTCATGACATATGTGTCCCAATCACAAAAATCTCTACAGATCATAACTGAATGTTCATGCTTCTTTAAAGGCTTGCAGAGGTGGAGATTTGGATGGAGGCGTGCAGGTGGAGACAGACTCTTCATCCTCAGAGGAACAGGACATCCTGTCTGAGCTTCTTTCCATTCCTATCGACACTGCAGTAACATACGCCACTTCACCAGGTAAACTTGGTACCATGGTAAATTCAGTTTACAGCTGTGGTGAAAATCGTTTGATAGTTTTTAACAGCAGATGGCGCTCTACAGTCTAGCTTTGAACAGCAAATGGTGTTCTAGCCTAGTTTTGGCCAGCAGGTGGTGCTCTAGGCTAAAGTTTTTAACAGCAGATGGTGGTCAAGGCTAGTTTTAACAGCAGATGGCGCTCTAGACTAGTTTTGGCCAGCAGGTGGTGCTCTAGGCTAAAGTTTTTAACAGCAGATGGTGGTCAAGGCTAGTTTTAACAGCAGATGGCGCTCTAGACTAGTTTTTAACAGCAGATGGCGCTCTAGACTAGTTTTTAACAGCAGATGGCGCTCTGGGCTAGTTCTTAACAGCAGATGGCGGTCTAGGCTAGATTTTAACAGCTGATGACGCTCTAGGCTCCATCTGCTGTTAAACACTAGCCTAGAGCTCCATCTGCTGTTAAAAACTAGCCTAAAGGTCCATCTGCTGTTAAAAACTAGCCCAGAGCGCCATCTGCTGTTAAAAACTAGCCAAGAGCTCCATCTGCTGTTAAAAACTAGCCAAGAGCTCCATCTGCTGTTAAAAACTAGCCAAGAGCTCCATCTGCTGTTAAAAACTTGCCAAGAGCTCCATCTGCTGTTAAACACTAGCCAAGAGCTCCATCTGCTGTTAAACACTAGCCCAGAGCGCCATCTGCTGTTAAAAACTAGCCAAGAGCTCCATCTGCTGTTAAAAACTAGCCAAGAGCTCCATCTGCTGTTAAAAACTTGCCAAGAGCTCCATCTGCTGTTAAACACTAGCCAAGAGCTCCATCTGCTGTTAAACACTAGCCAAGAGCTCCATCTGCTGTTAAAAACTAGCCAAGAGCTCCATCTGCTGTTAAACACTAGCCTAGAGCTCCATCTGCTGTTAAACACTAGCCAAGAGCTCCATCTGCTGTTAAACACTAGCCTAGAGCTCCATCTGCTGTTAAAAACTAGCCAAGAGCTCCATCTGCTGTTAAAAACTAGTCTAGAGCTCCATCTGCTGTTAAAAACTAGTCTAGAGCTCCATCTGCTGTTAAAAACTAGTCTAGAGCTAGCTCTGCAGTTAAAAACTAAGCTTAGAATCGATTCAAGTGAGAATATTGATGCATTTATAAAATCTCAGAGTCATTTTGTTGATCAGTTTGTCTCCACAGCTCTTCTTCAGCTCTTTGCTCAGCGTCTTCTGTTGTGTTGTTTTCAGGCTACGCTGCATTCATGCATCCTCTGGGCTCGGTGCTGATTCAGACTCTCTGTGATCTGCTAGAAAGCGATGGAGGTCCAGATCTAGAGATCACCAAACTCCTGACTCGACTGAACCACCAGGTGGCCTACAACTTCCAGGCCAGAGGGAAAATACTGGGCGGGAAAAAGCAGATGCCGTGCTTTGTGACGCGCTTCACTAGAGAAGTTTTCCCATTCAGGAAAGCTGCGGCAGAAGATGTGGGCTTGACTTTCGCAGCCACGCAACTCATCGATGAACCCAGGAGATCACGGAAAACCTCTATCAGCTGAAGATCACAGAAATGAGGATAAAACTGATGGAGGAACATAGATAAACTTTTGTTTACAATCTCAATGTGCATCTCAGGACACTGACGTCATCATCATGTAGAGTTCAATCTCCAGCAGGAAGTGAGAGCGACTGGGAATTTTGCAGAATGAGATCTTTGATTGCTTACTGCTCCATTTGCTTGACAGCTGTTCATACTACCTACTTTTTATTCTTTTTCAAAACATTTCCCGAAGTGCAGTTTAACAGAGAGAGAATTTTATTGACTAATTTCTATTAACATTTGCCTTTTATCTTTGCCATGATGACAGTACATGATGTTTTTCTACTTATAGTGCAAGATACTAGTATTTATCTTAAAGTGACATTTAATTCTGTTAAATAGGCAAATCATTGGACAACAGTGGTTTGTTCTGTAGCCAATCAAAAAATGAACACTACCGGTCAAAAGTTTGGGGTCAGTAGGATTTTTAAATCTTTTAAAATAAGCTTCTCCTGCTCACAAAGGCTGCATTCATTAAATAAAAACACAGTACACATTATAAATCTATTGGGAAATGTTATTGCACTATAAAACAACTGTTTAAAAGTAGTTTATAATTTAATGTATAATTTATTCCAGTTATTTTAAAGATTAATTTCCAGCTTCATTACTCCAGTTTTCATATAGTCACATGACCCTTCAGAAATCACTCTAATATTAATTATTATTGTTATTATTATTATTTATGATAGTAATAAAAGCAATACTGATTTCATCTAAAACTACATACAATAAGAAAGCAGTTATTTTAAATTTGAATAAATATTTAAAAATTTGTAAATTTAATAAATGGCGCCTTGATGAACAATAATTTTCTTTAAAAAAAATTTAGAAAAAAAAAACTGACCCCAAACTTTTGAGGGGAAGTGTATATATTAAAAAGGCTAATAATATTAACCCTAGCAGTTAAAAATCTTTTTAAAATTGTATATTATTATTCCAGTCAAACTGAAAAAAAAACAAGGCTTTCTACAGAAGAAAAATATAATAAATAAAAACTTCCTTGCTCTATTAAACATCACTCTGGAAATATATATATATATATATATATATATATATATATATATATATATATATATATATATATATATATATATATAT